TGTCTCAATTAAGATATCGTTTGACAAAAGAGAATTATTAGCACAAATTAATCATTAAAAGGTTATGTCAGATTTAATTGACATTTATATATTTTGGATAGTCATAATGCCTTGCTAGAGGTCGCTTATGATTTGTGAGACTTGAATTAATTTTTTAGCCCACTGCCAATAATATATAAACCTACAGGGTCACACACCTATGTGATTTGGATCATTAATGTTCGTTAATAACATTATAATAGCCTGATTAGCCCAATTCGAAATAGGGTTTCAAATGGTATTGGGCTAGGGCCTCTTGGAGGGTTTTATTAGCTATAAAACTCCTTCTTTCCTCCTCTTATAAATAGGGCTATATAGACCCACGAATTTTAAGAGTTAAAATTTACTTTTAAAACCTAGAGTAGAGAGGAGGAAAGAAGAGAACGCTAGCACGTCCCCTGCGGCCGATCCAATCACGTGCGTGTGGATACCGGTAGAGCTCGGGATTGTTTTCTCGGACAGTCTGACATCCTTGATTAAGATTGCTATGTAAGTCCCTCTTATACTCCCTCCGTCCCATTGGAATGTTCCTGTTCAATATTCATTGGTCAACTTAGGTCACTCCTAATATTTTACTTTATATATCAAATTTTTATCAAATTGAACTTTTCTTGATCAGGCTTTGTAGCGGTTTTAATGTAGTTTCTGAATATGTAATTTTTATTTACTAAAAATAAGCGGAGTGTGAACAGGGATCGAGTTGCTTTATCGTCAGTCAAGCATCGTAAACCGAACGGGAACATTCCAATGGGACGGAGGGAGTATCTTGTAATTTCGTTTATAGTAAGAACCTCAGATCCGATTGTTTACTTTTGGGCAGTATTTATTTTGTTTATTCCGCTGCGTTTTTCTGCCCCGAAACCCAAACATCACTGCAATGGTATGTCGTTGATTATTAGGAGTATTGTAATAGTCAAAGAACTACCCAGCCTTGAAAATCCATTGTAAAACTCCAGATCCATCGAAACGAGGAAAATCTAGCTTCACATTACGCACCTGAAATGGTTATCTCAAACATGAAGAAGATCCTCCACCGAAATGATTACCTCAAACATTAGCTATCCGCTTCGCACCAGGCTCCAAGTTCTGCTTCAGCAAGACGTCAACTGCATTTTCCAATGTTTCAAATCGAGCTCTGTTATCCAGCTTGTCCGCCTCTAACATCTCCATCAATGTGTTCATGCTTGCGGCAAGCTCTTTAATCCTAGTCCCCTCCGCCATGAGTTCGAAGGATGAAAGCACCAAATGTTACGATATGGGGGTGGCAACAGATTATTAGTGTAAAACAACTCAAATATAATGAGGGCAATGTAAATTATTTTCATAGTAAACAGTTCCGAAGAGAACAAGAAAGTAATAACAATCCAGACATGGAGGAATTACAGGATAAAGTAGCCAGAAAATTCTTAGAGAAGAAAGACAAGAGTTAGATATTTTCCCCTAACCATCACCCTTACATAGCTAATACTCCCTCCGTCCCTAAATTATCTTCAAACTTTCCTTTTTCGTCCGTCCCAAAATTATCTCTTCTTTCCCCTTTTAGCAAAAAATTTGTGGTTCACAATCATTCTTACACATTCTTACACATTTCTCTGTCTTCTGCACAACTCTCCACCACACAAATCCTACTATCTTAATAAATGTGCCCAACCCAAAAGAGAGAAAGATTAGGGACGGAGGGAGTATATTACTTGCTGCTAAACGACAAAATCCTTCAGCCTTGTGTTTGTTATTTTGATCCGTGTGCTACGCCTCTCTCCAGCCTCTGTGGTCCCGTAACTTTGATCCTGAGCCCCAACACTATTTTCTTCATTTCCCTTGACAGGTGCACTCATTACACTTTGCCACGTATCTGTTCATCACCATTAATTTTAGACACAGGGAGTTATCTCAATCCTCATTTTATTTGCTCCTCATGTTCAATATGTATTGCATTTTTCAATAGAAAGGTTTTTAGATATGAAGTCGGTCATATATGAAGCAGTTTGCAGAGAAGGGACTTAACACTTAAATTGGCACTCCGGGGAGAAGTTGACTGCAGAAAATTGAGACCTTAAAACATTCGAAATTCACTTTTCAATTTGTTGATAAAGTAAAAAACTAGTTCAACAAAAAAGAAAAAAAATAAGTAAGTTGGAGTTATAATCAGGTTTTATTTCTGAAAGAATGACTATAATATTACTCCTAGAATTTGTATATGATCAAATCTGATATTGACAAAAAAGTGACCATTTTATTATTTTGACCGCTCCTCATCCGATCCGCATCTTTGCATCGCATCTCCATGTGCATCTCTGCATCGAAACTCCTCATCTTCATCGCCATATGCCTCACCAAACGACGCCGGTCATCTCTGCAGTGTCGCCGCCCGCTAGACGCCTGTCCATCGCTGCCGCCTCCAGTCATCACTACATCGCCGCTGCCGCCATCTGTCAATCTGCTTCGATTCTATCTGCCTTGGTCGCCATTAACCACCATTGTCACTCGTCTTTTCCTTCTTTCTTCATCTTGTTCAACGATGGTGAGACTATATCATGTTTCAGTTGTAGATCTAATCTTCCGGCAGTGCGACAGATCGGATCTGGGAGGCTGGTGGCTCTGAGGGTGCAAGGGTTGGGAGGAGGGGTTGGAGAGGCTAGACAGGTTGGGTAGGGCAGGGGGCAGGTCGTTGTTGGCTTGTGGGGCAGGTCGTTGTTGGCTTGTGGGGCAGGTCTAGTGTGACATGGGGGGCGTAGGGAAAGGGGCAGCGATAGGTTATTGCAGCGACGATGGTTGCTGGAGCTGTAACGATTGAGGCTGGGCAGGTCAGGGGGTGGGCAGGGCTGGGCCTGCGGTGGAATGGGTTTGGAGTGGTGGACAATGAGTTTGGAGTGGTGTTCAATGGCCGGTAGGCCTAGGCAGTGGTCACAGGATGAAGCGGTGCGGCGTGGTGTCACTGTGGCGTGTGGTGGTGTCACTGTGGTGGTGTCACTTTGATCGGCGGTGGCAGTGACACCAGCGATTGCGGCGGAAGTAACACGAGCGATGCGGCAACAGTGACACGGGCGATAGCGGCGATGACATCCGATAGTGACATGAAAATGGGGATGTCACAACGGAGGTATCACTATAGCCGGTGGCGGTTTTCAGGCGATGGTCACCGGTGGGAAGAAGTTGTGTGGATGTCACTGTGTATTTGTCACTGTAGTGTGTCACTGTGGTTTGTGGTGGCGTCACTGTGGCGGTGGTGGTGGCGGCGGTGTAATTGGTGTCAAAATTTTGACTTTGACACTCTCGGTGACAATAAAAACGAACACAGTGACATAAAGTTTTTGCAGTGACATCATGTTTTCTAATGCCAAATATGTCACCTTGTTAATCACCTTTTTGTCAAATTTTAAAAGTACTCACATTTTTGGAAATTCAGTGCAATTTAGTAATATTAAGGGAATAAGCCTCGTAGGAGAAATTTCCATCTTCCTTGTTGTTCTTTCGATCCGTCGGCAAGGAAAGAAAGTTTCTTAGGGGTCAGGGGTAAAATAGATTTATTTTTTATAGTTATTTCAGTGGCTGTACATAGAAAATAAACGGTTGTATGACTTTGTATCGTACTTCCTCCGTCGCATTTAAAGGTTCTCGTCTATTATTCTGCGGTTAACGTGCATTATTATTGATCTTTTACTATATATATATATTATTAATCTTTTACTCTATATATATATATATATATAGGGTGTGGTTCCGGTAAGAACGGACTCTCAGGAGTTAAATGAGAACGAATCTGGATCGTTGGATTGTATTATGCGGATCTGGATTGTGCATTTGGTGAAACTGAAATGTGCATCACATGATATTGAAATGTGTAGAATAAAAGTTTAAACTCAAGTGTCCATTAGGTGAAACTGAAATGTGCGAAATAAAAGGTACAAAAATAACATCACATCGTACCTTTTATTTCAGCACATTTCAGTTTAACCTGATGCACATTTCAATTTCACTTAATGCATAATTCAGCTTCACATAATGTCATTGTATCGTATCATTTGTGGTGCACATTTCAATTTCACCTAATGCACATTATAGTTTCATCTAATGCACATTGAATTTCACTTAAAGCAAATCTAACGGTCCAGATTCATTCTCATTTCTCTCCTAAGATCATGTTCTTATTTGAACCAAAACCTATATATATATATATATATATATATATATATATATATATATATATATATATATATATATATATATATATATATATATATATATATATATATATATATATATATATATATATATATATATATATATATATATATATATATATATATATATATATATATATAGGGGATGGTTCAAATACAAAGAGGTCTTCCCATGCAAAGTGAGAATTAATCTCGTGCATTCATTTCCAGATCTATGACTCAAAATGAGCCAAAAGTGAACTAAATTTGATAAAAAATGTAGTGACAATTTCGTAATTAAAATGAAATTTTTTGCCACCGCGAAAAAGTGCAACAGAAATACGCAAAAGTGCAACGCGGTGATGAAAAAGTGCAACCGTTCGCACTTTGCACGGGAGAACCTCTTTTTATTTGATCTCTTCCCTATATATATATATATATATATATATATATATATATATATATATATATATATATATATATATATATATATATATATATATATATATATATATAGGGGGATCAAATAAAAAGACCTACTTATATGCAAAGTGAGAATTTATCTCAGCCTCTCATCTCAACCCATGAATCTCCTTTGCTAGATAAAATTAAAAGGACTTTTTAGACATCTTACCATTTCAGTTAAGTCTACCGCCTTGTCCATTACGAGTCTTCCGCATTGTCCGCTCATCACGTCGCTAGTCTGCGTTAACTCTTCACCCTAATCATCGGAAAATGGTAACCGCTGTTTTGAATATCGAAATTCCGTTCTTTGGCAAAGGCAATTCAACGGCTAGTCGATGTAAAAGGATTTGTTGTTTTCGTTGTCTTCCCACAGCCATAATACGATGGAGCCTGGTAAGTTTTTTGTATGTTTCTTTTCGTGAATTCCTTCTGACTTGTGCGTTGAAGTTTTCTTATATTCTATTTTTGTTTTACTTTTGAAATGCTTCGTTTAAAGCATGAAACTTGATATTATATTTTTCGAAGTAAGATATGTTTTGTATTCGTTACCAGTCGTTGATATGTTTTGATATGTTTTGCGTCGTTAATGCTACAAAGATGATGCTACAATTACTTTTGATATATTTTGATGTGTTAATGCTACAATTACTTTTGATATGTTGTGTGTCGTTGATGCTACAATTACTGAATTTATTGCTTTATCTTTATCATATTCTACACATTAAATCGTGTTAAACTTCCCTGCATTTGTTATTATTCTTTTCTTGTAGGGGTGCTTGTCATTTGCAGATATCCCCTGGGAAGACAAAATATTGGATTCAAGAATGTGACCTAGAAACAAAGCCTGTAATTGGTAAGGTTTTCATGAACCTTGAAGAAGCAATTGCATTCTATAAGAAATATGCATCTGTGTGTGGATTTGCTATTCGTCTTGGTTCACAATCAAAGGCTAGAGACGGGACGATTTTGTTGAAATATGTTGTGTGTAATCGGGAGGGGTTTAAGAATGACTCCAATTCTTCAAAGAATGACTGCAATGCTTCTTTTATTCAGTCATCCAATGACAATTCTTATTTTGTTTGCTCTGCACCCACCATAAGCACTAATTGTCAATCTTCTGAAATTGGGGATGCGTCCACAATTAATGGTGATGAAGTCAAAAAAATTATACGACGTCGAGTGTCTAGCCGGATTGGTTGTAATGCTCGTGTATGTTATAAGTATTGTGGGTTACGTGGTTATGTTGTTTACTCATTTGAAGAACGCCATAACCATTGTATGACATCTGAGTCTTCAAAAAAGTTTCTTAAAGTTAATAGAAACTTAGACATTGGCCATCAGAAGTTCGTTATTAATTGTGCTAAAGCCAACATTGGCACAAGTAAGTCATACAGATTGTTTAAGGGATTCGTTGGTGGCTATTCAAACATCGGCGCAACTGCTGTTGACTTCAAAAATTTCAAAAGAGACCTCAAAGCGTATATTGAAGGAGTAGACGCTCACATGCTTATTGATAAATTATTTAGGAAGCAAGAGTTGTGCTCCGCATTCATTTTTGATTACGATGTTGACGAAACAGATAAGTTGACCCGATTGTTCTGGTGTGATCCTATAGCGAGGGAAAACTATTCATGTTTTGGAGACGTCATTTCATTTGATGCCACATATGGGACGAATAGGTATTTTTTATTTTTACTTGATATTTGTTGTTTCTGCTATTTTTCAAAAACCCATTTCACTAATTGCACAATCTGTAGTATTTATTTAAAAATTGATCATTTTTAGTTATAATATCATTAATTTTGCAAGATGTAGCTATTTTTGGATTCTATTTTGCACTAATTTCACTTTACGTGGCATTTACCTGCATGGCACTAGTACTCCTTATGTTTGTGTAGGTGCAATAAGGTTTTTACTCCTTTCACTGGTGTCGACAACCACAAGAAATGCATCACCTATGATGCTGGTCTTTTATCGAAAGAGGATGTTGATTCATATGTGTGGATATTTATGCGATTCCTCAATGCAATGCATCGTGAACCTAATTGCATTGTTACCGATCAAGATCCGGCTATGCAAATTGCTATTGAAAAAGTTTTCAGTCACGCACGCCACCGGTACTGTATGTGGCACATTATGAAGATGGTTACATCAAAGGTTGGACCTGTGTTAAGTCATAATGAGGAGTTTATGTCCAGGATCAATTCTGTTGTCCGGACAAATTTTTTTGGAGCCAACTGAATTTGAAGGTAGATGGATGTCTGTTATGCAAGAGTTTGATTTGGTTAATCATGAATGGTTTTCACACATGTTTTCCTTGCGTAAGTTTTGGATCCCATCGTAGTTTAGAGATTTATTAATGGGCGGCTTACTTAGAACAACTTCACGTTCTGAAAGTGAAAATAGTTTTTTTGGAGAGTTCATTAATCCACATTTCAGCTTGATTGAGTTTTATATGCAGTACGAAAGTGCTATGGATTCGCAACGACATACACATGACAAACTCAATGCAAGTTCTAAATGTTATGTTCCAGTTTACAAAACCCCACTTTCACTTGAGAAGCATGCATCCGAGGTATACACAATCTTCTTGTTTTATGATATTCAATCTGAGATATGTGCCGCATGCTTTTCATGTTCTGTGTCAAGTGTGACGCGAGTTGATGGAAATGTGGATTATATGATATTATGATTCGAGATGACCGAAACATTGTCTTCAATGTTGTGTTATGTGTTGATGATAGCACTGCGTCATGCACTTGCAAGTTTTTCCAGCGTTGCTGTGACACCCTGATACGTTCGTAATTTCCATTTCTATGTTTATGTTTTTAATTAGTTTTGCTTGACTTTTACTTTGGAAATTACACACTTTTGGTGTAATAGATTAGATTGTTAAATTCTTGTAAATAGGTTAGATTAGACATTTTCTGAGCTTAAGCAGGTTTTGGTCACCCAAAGTACAGTTGGTGAACCCAAAAAGTGAAGAGAAGGTACAAAAGTTCAAAGACAAAAGAAGATCCTGAATTTTGGTCTATACTCGGTCGAGTATTAGCTATACTCGATCGGGTATTAGGTTGGAACTTCAAATCGGATCAGATCCGAAGACAAAGGAACATGCAGGGAAGATTTTGGCCACGATTCTATGTCTATACCCGATCGGGTAGACCGACATACCCGATCGGGTATGCCTTTAAATTGCAAACGAAGATCGGTCGAGTATAGCCCGAATACCACTTTCTAAGCATACTCGACCGGGTATTCATATATACTCGATCGGGTATGCCTTTAAATTGCAAACGAAGATCGGTCGAGTATAGCCCGAATATCACTTTCTAAGCATACTCGACCGGGTATTCATATATACTCGATCGGGTATACACTTAGAAAATAGCCTGAAACCGGTCGAGTATGCCTCGAATCGGATGTTACACACATACTCGATCGGGTACCATGTATATACCCGATCGAGTACCCGAATCTCATCCCAAAAACCTATAAATACACCTCCTTTCCTTCACAAAAAGATATCCAATCCCTTTGTACATCCAAGCTCAGTATAGAATAGTTCTTTCTTTATATTTTTCATCATGTTTAGCCTCCAAATGAGGAGCTAAACTCTTCCATCTTGGTTTTGCTACTTTGAAGCTTAATGAATTTGTAAGTTGTGAGTTATTTTCTTTAATCTTCTTCCTTGAATATTAATTCTTTCTTTCAAAATACTATCTCTATATCAAAGTCGGGGAGTGTTACTAAGATGACAATTAGTTAACATCTTGACATTGGTTATAGTAATAGCTATTTCTTCCTCTATGATTATATTGGGGAGTGTTGCTAAGATGACAATTAGTTAACATCTTGATATTAATCATAGTAGGATTCATATATTTTAATATTCTTCCTTGAGTATTGATTAATTCCTATTCATATTTCATGTTAATATCTTAAACATTACTTAAAGTATCAACTAGTATTGTTTCTCGTATTAATTATTACTAGAATCAATCGGTTAATACGCTTGTTATTAATCCGGTTCTTTCAACGGTAGTAAACTTGGGATATTAATGCATGCATCTCATGGTTAATATGCCAAGGGGAATTAATTATATTGATTAAACCAATAAACCGCTTGTGTTGAGGTTATCAATCTCAATCGTTTTCATCTTAAGTTTATTGCTACTATCAAGTTAATATACGGCGCTTGTTCTATATTGACTCGATAGTAAGTTTTATTAATGAACGCATCTCGTTATTAATAACTACCCTCGATGAACTGGATATACTCCTCGATTGAGTATTCGAGAGGAAGATAGTTAAAGATATAACCGGGATCGACGAACATTTCAATAAGTGGATAAAAGCAAAACCAAGTCCCCATCTCATTGAATTAAACTCATATAGGTCGTTTATCTTAGTGTTATTAAAGCAAACAAATCTAAACCCCCCTTGTTATTATTCACATAAAAGAAAAGTATTCCTTTCCCTGTGGATACGAACCTTACTACACTATACTACGTATTAGTGTTGTATTGATTAATTATTTTGAGTGCACCTAACGACGAGTGCACGTCAAATTTGGCGCCGTTGCCGGGGAAAGGCGATAAATTTTTCTTTTATTTCATATCAAGAAAAATCAAAAAAAATATATATACCAAACAAAAAAATATAAAGAGTTCTTATTTCTTCTATTTCTGAGCTTAGTGGAGTTTATGGTTAAACATCGCTCCATAAACAAAATCATATATCAAACAAACCCAGAAATAGAACAAACTTTCGAGCGGTTGAAAAGTAAATTTTCTAATACCGACTCGGAGGAATCATCTATCAGAGATTCATCCAGCGCTAGTTCTCATTCTAGCGAGACCAAAGAGTCAATAACCATGGCTCTTGAGACAAGAACACTACGGGAGCTCACTGCTCCAAATCTCAATCAACAACCGTTATGTATTACCTTCCCTACACTCGATGAAGGTAATACATTTGAGCTAAAATCTGGGCTCATACATCTACTGCCATCCTTTCATGGCCTAAGGGGGGAGGACCCCAACAAACATCTCTCGGAATTCCATATTGTCTGCACAAGCATGTGCCCCAATGGAGTCACCGAGGAACAAATCAAATTGAGGGCTTTTCCATTCTCCCTCAAAGACACGGCGAAGGATTGGCTATTCTATCTCCCGTCAGGGAGTATAGATACATGGGCGTCAATGAAAAAATGCTTCCTCGAAAGGTACTACCTTGCATCTGTCTCATCATCCTTGAAAAAACAAATAAGCAACATCGAACAAAAAGATGATGAGACATTATATGAATATTGGGAGCGTTTCAAAAAGTTGTGCGCTAGCTGCCCATATCACGGTTATACAGAGCAAGACCTCATCCTCTACTTCTATGACGGTCTTGCGGAGCAAGATAGACGCCTGGTGAATGCAGCATCTGGAGGGGGAATTGTCAACAAAACCCCTTCCCAAGCTAGGAACCTCATCTCGGAGTTGGCCGAGAATTCTAGGCACTACAATGGGAGGTCATCATCAAAACGGGTCATGGCAGCGGAATCCAACATCTCGTTAGAAAGTCAAGTGGCCGACTTGACTTCTTTGGTAAAGGATTTCCTTTTAAATCCAAAACACCAAGAAGTCAAGGTCTGCGGCATATGCTCGACACAGGGGCACCCCACCGATTCCTGCCCAACACTACAAGAGGAGAATTCCGAGCAAGTCAATGCTTTGGGATTTCAAGGTCAAAAGAGGTATGATCCACACTCTAACTCCTACAATCCTGGGTGGAGAGATCACCCGAATTTGAGGTATGGGAATCCTCAAAATCAGTCATTGCCACCAACTTTCCCAAAGCACCAAGGCCAGACGTCAAGCTCAAGTATGTCCACCGAGGACATGATCCGAGCTCTCACCTCAAATGTCTCAACCATGCAACAAAACATGGTTCAATTTCAGCATGAGACCAAATCCAGCATTCAGAATTTGGAAAACCAAGTCAGTCAAATTGCAAATGCCGTGAACCGACTTGAAACAAAAGACTCGGGTAAACTCCCATCTCAAACAGAGCAAAATCCGAGACAACATGTGAATGCTATAACGTTGAGAAGTGGTGCAACGTTGAAAGAGGCAGAAGAGAACGATGAAGAGACTGAGGGTGTGGACCCCGAAAAAATAGTCCCACCGGAGGAGGAAAACACAGGAACCAAGCTTCCCCCACCCTCATCATATGAACAAGAAATCCCGTTCCCTGAGGCGCTGAAAGAGACAAAGAAGCTAGAAAAAGACGCCGACATCTATGAAACCTTCGCAAAGTGTGAGGTAAACATTCCGCTTCTTAACTTCATGAAAAATGTCCCCCGTTTTGCTAAATTCTTAAAAGAATTATGCAAAACAAAAAGAAAAGATAAATTGAAAGGGAAACAAGAGGTTAGAGTTAGTGAACACGTCTCGGCCATTTTTCAGAGGAAACTCCCCGAAAAATGTAACGACCCAGGCATGTTCACTATCCCTTGCAAAATAGGAGACACCACATTTCCTAAGGCCTTGTTAGATTTAGGGGCATCAATAAATGTCATCCCCTATTCTGTGTATAAAACTCTACAACTTGGTCCATTACATCAAACAGGTGTAGTGATTCAATTGGCAGATCATTCTAGTACTTACCCGAAGGGTGTAGTAGAAGATGTGCTAATAGAAGTAGAAAATATGGTCTTTCCTGTTGACTTCTATGTCCTTGAAATGGGAACTAATGACCAAACAACACCCATCCTTTTGGGTAGACCCTTCATGAAGACCGCAAAAACGAAAATTGACGTTTCTAGTGGTTCACTAACTTTAGAGTTCGATGATCAAAAAGTGGAGTTCAACATCTTGGACTCTACGAAAAAACAAATGCAAAATCCAACTCTGTGTTCCTTACATGTTGTTGAACCACAAGAACCGCTGTTTTTCAAAGAAGCGGATAAAATCAGATGTCTTTTGAGAAAGAAACCCCGGCCTTACTGGAAAAGGCCGAAAAATAAAAATGAAAAAAGGCCAAATAGGGCCTTAAAAAGTGAAACAAGGGATACTCATGATCCCACATAAAAAAAAAAATGAATAACGTCGTGCCACGACGTTAACTAAGGCGCTTCTTGGGAGGCAACCCAAGCAAGGTACATTTTTCTTTTATTGTTAACCCCCCCTGTCAATATTTTCAATTATGTCTTTGAGAGGTTGAGAGGGAGGGCACTAATCATGGGTTTTTGAAATAAAAAAAGAAATAAAAAAATTTGCAGGTTTTTGAACATCTGGGGACATACCCGATCGAGTATAACCTTATACTCGGTCGGGTATGAGCAAAAAG